TCACCATTTACACCATGGACATGGTGCTCATGGACATCATGCTCATGGTCACCATGGTCATCATTCGTCTTCTTCCTCTTCCTCGCCTTCATCTTCTCATCATCATGCTCATCATCATTACACCAACCATCACTCACATCATTCTCACCATCATCTTTCAGGTTCTCCTCGATCTCCTCATTCACTCACCTCTTGCTCACCAGCCTCAACATCGGCCTCATCGCCAATGTCTCATGCCAACGGGAACAAGGAAAAGATTCGTATTTGGATTCGAGATCAGGCCAAAATTTTTGTGGAAAAGTATTTCGACAACGAGAACGAAATGAACGAAGCCATGAGCACATTGAATCGTATCAATGAAGCAATGGAAACTTTTGACAATGGAAATGATCTGGATGGATTGAAAGAGTTTAGAAATGTTCTCTTGGATGGAGACATTTCACCATTCGAACTGATTCATTGTGGGATAATCAGTAAATTGATCGGATACTTATCAGGTTTGAAGGATGAGAAGAAAGAGATAAAAGAAAAGAAAGAAAAAGAAAAAGAAAGAGACAAAGAAGAAATGGAAGAAATAGAAGAGAGAAATGTCCGAATCCGACGTTTTCTTCATGTTTTCCTTGGATCTCCAGTGGATGATCACAGTGTGATAATGGACGAGAATGAATTGAAATTGGATGTTCGACCAATGTCCACTCTTGTTTGTAAGTTGAATGCTTGTATCTCCCAATTGGAACAATTTCCTGTTCGAGTACATGATGTACTTGGAACCGGAACAGGCAATATAAGAGGACAAGTGCATTGAAGTTTTCAATACCCACCAACTAAAGTGTAATTTACAAAGACACCGAGACTGTACAAATTTGAAACAATGGCGAGGGGGAACAGTTAAAATTGATCCGTTGGCCTTAGTACAAGCGATTGAAAGATATTTGTTATTACGAGGATATGGACGAGTTAAAGAGGAAGAAGATGACAATAGTGATGATGATAATTCAGATGATGATTTCGATGATAACATGGCCTCAGTTGTTATGAATCAAGGTCAAGGTCGCCATAAGATTCAATTTTTAATCGATGATAATGTTCTTCCTTATAACATGACAGTTTATCAAGCGATAAGACAATTCAGTTCATCGGGAGGAAACTCACATATGATGGACGGACTTGAAAATGATAACGATTTTGACTCACCAGTGGGCAACTCAAATATGTGGATAACAACACACACAATTTATTATCGTTCAATAAGTGAGCGTTCATCTCCCTCAACAACACCTATTCAAAATACATCATCAATCAGATCTTCAGCAATTACCGCAACACCTTCATTCTCAATGGCAATAGAGACTCGAAGTGGTCGATGTTTAACTCGAGCCGGATCAATTTCGGCAGCAGCATTGTTATCAGATTTATCATCCAATGCAACAGGATCTCCATCGACTTCGTCATTATCAACCAATTTATTAACTCAATACATGAATTGCTCAGGAAGTTGTTCAACCACAACCAGTGGATCATCAAATGTTCATTCCTATTCATCTACACCTTTATCACCCCCAATGATGACTCCATCATCATCAGGAATTGCCACAAGCTCTTCAAGTCGTCGATCATCATCTAAATCAAATAAAGCACCAGTAGGATTTTTCCCTGTTTCATCTTCATCAACTTCCTCATCATCATCTTCTTCCTATCGTAAGAAAGATGAACTTTGGATTGAAGGTAAAACTCCTCGGATCTCATCAACAGTTTACAATTATCTGATTCCTTCATTGCCAAAATGTGTCAACATTGAAGATTGTTCATTGGAAGTGATGAACTTAATGAGAATCTTGAATGCACTTAATAGGTGTTGGAGTTGGTTCTACAATCTACCAATTAGTTCAAATCCTGCCATATTGCAAAGTGAATTTGTAAATAGTAAACTAACAGCCAAAGCTAATCGTCAACTGCAAGATCCACTTGTAATAATGACCGGTAATCTGCCCCAATGGTTATCCCAAATAGCGTATGTGTGTCCATTCCTGTTTCCATTTGAGACTCGTCATCTGTTATTTTACATAACCTCATTTGATCGGGATCGAGCCTTACAACGATTACTGGACTCGACTCCAGGATTGAATTCTAGTGACACGAGTGAGAGAGTGACCCCTCGATTGGACAAACGTAAGAAGACAGTGACACGAGAAGATATACTTCGTCAAGCGGAATCTGTTTTCCATGATATCGGAAATTCAAAAGCTTTACTTGAGATTCAATATGAGAACGAAGTTGGAACTGGATTAGGACCAACACTCGAGTTTTACGCTTTGGTGTCTAAAGAGATGCAAAGAGCTGATTTGGATATGTGGAGAGGAGAAGCAATTAGTTCATCGAGTGTTATTATGCCTTTAATTTATTCTAATGATAAATTGTCATCTACACGAACTGGACCATCACATCAACGACATCATAATCATAATCACAACCACAGTCAAAATCAGAACCAGAATCAGAATCAGAATCAGAATCAAAACCAAAATCAACAACAACAGAATCTATTTGATTATGAATCAAACGAAATGATGATTGATATTGACCCTCAATATCTGAAAAAGAGTGAGGTCACTAAAGAAATTCGTTATAATAATCAGAATCAAAACTTTCATCAAATTCAGAACCAACAACCTCAACAGCAACAACAACAACAACAACATCACCATAATCACCATCATACTCATCATCAACCACAATCAGTTCAATATATTTATTCATCTGAAGGTTTATTTCCATCTCCTGTTGGTAAATCAACTAAAACAACCTCATTGTCTAAAATTAAGAGTCGATATCGATTACTCGGGAAATTCATGGCCAAAGCTTTGAGTGATTCTAGAATGGTAAGAGAGATAAATCTCATTAATTAACTTGATCATTTGTTACTAATAATCTCATTTCTCTTTCTCCTTCTTTCTTCTCTCTTTTCTTGGTTAGATTGACTTACCATTGAGTGTCCCATTCTACAAGTGGATCCTTGGTCAAGAATCTACCTTAAGTGTGTCCGATATGCACTTTATTGATGCAACTCTAGCAAAATCTGTGACAAATATGTTCTTGATTGCACAAAAGAAACAACTCATGGTAATTGTTATACTTTGATTACTTAATTGATCAATTGATTAGTTGATTAACTGATTAAACGATTAAACGATTTACTGAATCAACCATTTTCTATTATTTCATCTCTAGAAACGAGGAATATCCGAAGAGAATCATGACTCATTAACTCTTAGTGGTGTTTCCATTGAGGATCTTCATCTTGACTTTACTCTTCCGGGTTTCCCTGGAATTGAACTTCGTAAAGGAGGTAAAGACATGAGTGTTACATTGGAGAATATCGATCAATACTTACGATTAATGGTTCATTGGACAATGATCGAAGGAGTCTCTCGACAAATGGAAGCTTTTAAAGAAGGATTCGAATCTGTTTTACCCTTAACGCAATTACAAATATTTTATCCGGAAGAATTGGAGCAACTTTTCTGTGGCTCTTGTCACCAAACATGGGACATGAAAACTCTGATTGATTGTTGTCATCCTGATCATGGTTACACTTACGATTCACGAGCAATCAAATATTTGTTTCAAGTTTTATCTTCATTGAACAGTGAAGAGCAACGTAAATTTTTACAATTCGTTACCGGATCACCTCGACTTCCAGTTGGTGGATTGAAAAGTTTATCTCCTCCATTGACGGTGGTTAGGAAAACATTTGAACCTGGAGAAAATCCCGACGATTTTCTGCCCAGTGTGATGACTTGTGTTAATTACTTGAAATTACCTGATTATTCAAACATCGATATAATGAGAGAGAAATTAATCTTTGCTGCTAATGAAGGACAACACTCTTTCCATTTATCTTAATACAAACCTCGCCACCAGAATAAAGTGTGACCATTTAAAGACAATGCCAACACTTGAGATAACAACGGAAAATCTTAACAATGCAAAAATAACTTTAATCTAATACCTAATCGGAATTTAATCGAGTCGATTTATTTTGACATTCATACTCTTCTCATCTTCCTCATGCATAAAAGCGCTGTTATTAACATTTCGCTCAATTGTTATTAACGAATAACTTTTGATCAATGGCCATACAACAAAAAATATTATGTGAAAATAATTAATAATCTATGTATGCAAATTTCCTTATCCATTATTCATTTTCAAAACCGATTTCTTGTATTCATTTAAAAAGATTAAACTTTTTTGTTCAATTTAATCTAATTATCGAGATTCAATAATTACTATCAACAAGAAAAATTGAAACGATATTCTATAAACAGAGTTTTGAGTAATTAGCAATGATTTGTTATAGATGTTTGAATTTTTATCAATAATAGTTTATTAAACGATCATTTTTATAAATAATCAATCGTTTCTATGTCCAAACTGGATATTGGAATAGAAAAACAGAATTTTGAGTGATAAGTAAATGATGAGATCAATCGAATAGACCGAAACCCATGTCGTCATCTTCTTCTTCCTCTTCTTCTTTCTTTTCTTCTTTCTTTGATTCTTTGGCTGGTGAATCTCCTTTAGCAGCATCACCGGATGGAGCAGCGGCACCACCACTTCCTCCACCTCCAGAAGGAACTGAAGCAAGTTTAGTAGAACCTAAAGAGAAAAGAATAGAAGAAAAAACCAATTAATCAATTTTTGATCTACAAAATTACTTTCTCATTTCAAAGTATCAACAACTATCACTACAACTTACCAGCAGCGATCAATTCAGCGACATTTTTTCCTTTCAATTCAGCGATAACCTTAGTGGCTCGTTCTTTGTCAACCTCAATACCAACAGATGATAAAATACCAGAAATATCATCAATAGAAGGATTGGAATTTCCACCGAGAGTGGCCAAAAGGTAAGCACTCAAGTAACGCATTTCTATTACAAAGAAAAAGAAAACAAAATACAAAATGAGATGAGCACTTGACAAGAGAAAGATGAAGACAATACAAACAAATAGAATAAACTACTTACTTAAGGTTTTGACCACGAAACTTGTTCGAACTCACCAAAAAAAAAGATAATTAAATTGAATTAGTTTAAATTAAATGAAAACTAAGAAATTAATTCACATGAAACGGAAATGAAGGAAATGAGGGTTCGTCTCTTAATATCATCAATTAGAATTCACTCATATTCCATCTAGTGGATTAATTAGAAACTAAAAAGAAAAATAAAAAATCAGCTGATGTTTTACTCTTTTCCTGCTAATTATCCTTTTAATCAATTGCTTCATTCTAATTTACCTTTTGTTGTTTTAATTGATTGTTTGGTAAGATGAGCGTTAATGGTTGGAGGTGGAGCCAATGGTTATTCAACACACTTACCGATTGTTTTTCTTTTGATGGTTAATTGAAGAAACCAATTCAATCATGGCCATTGGAAATGTTCTTCTATTAACTCAGATCGCGGGTTATCTTGTTTCGTTTATTTTATCTTTTTGTGTTTTAATTCCGTTGATTGTAAATATGAAAAATTTCAAAGGAAATTGTTTACTTTATAGTTCGGGAGTTTTTCTTGACACCGGAGATTTCGTGCCTACATGGGCCTCTTGTGGATATTGTACTTACACGGCAATTCTATCTGCAGCTATCGTTCTAGTTTCCTTAGAACAATTAATCAGAATGTCACATTTCCTAAGGAAAGGTGTTGACAGGCAAGAAGAGAACCAGACAATTGGTTAAATGAAATGAAGATTAATTGGATTGTTTTGTCTTTCAGCTCTTTCATTTCAGCCTTTTGGGACACTGTTATTGCTTTTCTATTCGTTGGGTTGACCATTCTTGATGCTATTTTTGTGACCAGTGGATTTTCCCGATGGTGTAGCTCAGTTTCACAGAGATTCAGTTCATGTGAAGCTGGACAAGGAATTCTTCATATCACTCAAGATAATCAAGAAATTAACACAACCAATTTCTTTATTCAATTGGAACTGTTCAGGTAAATTTCCAATTCTCCTGTAAAAATATTCTCTCTATTTTCACCTTTCTCTTTCTGTCATCTTCTTTTCTAGTTTGGTATTTGGACATTGTTCGTTTCTTGGGTTCTTCTATTGGTTCTGGCTGGACGAAAGTTATCCATTTATCATGAACGAGAAAATCTAATCATCAGTATGTCAAGAGATCGTCAACGTTACGCTTCTCAAGGTTACAACAATTTAGATATTTAATAATAACAATCAAAGAGTAATTACTAAGAGAACAATTATCTCATCAACAACAACCATCTCAATTATCATTATCCTCATCAACTTCGTCTTCATCTTCCTTGTCATCTCCATTCTCATCTCAAACCACCGAACAATCTTTACCAAATCAAAACACCAACAACAACAATAATGATCATCTCTATGTCCCAGTATGTTAAACTGTTCTAAACCCTTTCAATCTTGGCCTCTATTAATCTCTTTGGATTATCTCATCCATATATCCATTCACACCTTTGTTTTTCTCCATAATTTTTCAGAGAACAAAACTTTTCGTCGGACGTTTACCTGATAACTGTACATCAAATCAACTCGAAGATTTGTTCAGAAAGTATGGACAAGTAAAAGAATGTGATGTAGTCGGTAGATATGGATTTGTGGTAAGTATCGTAATGACAATTTGTCAGATTTCACAATTATCTCTCTTCTCAATTATTTCTCTCTTGCAAATGTCACGCCTGTTTTTTTGGAAAAAATAATCATATCATCCCAATTACTGAACCTACTGAACCCCGTTGCTACTTTTATCATCTACATCATCATGGTGATCATCATTTTCCATTGATGTTTAAAAGCATATGAACAAGTCTGAGGAGGCTGAAGAGTGTGTCAAAAAACTGAACAGATATTCTTTCATGGGATCCGTATTAACTGTTGAGGTACAAAAAATTGTTGTTTTCATATTTTTCCTTCTCTTCCTACCTCTCTCCATCTCTCTCTCTCTCTCTCTCCTTCTTTCTCACTTTAGAAGCCAATTTAAATTATTTGGAGACTCTTTCTCCCTCTTGTTTCATAATATCAAGCGAAAACCACCACCACAAAATCCACCTTAATCTTCGTCTCTCCCTCTTTAAACCCTAATCAGTTTCACTCATAATGAGATGATCCGTTTCTCGATTTGTCAAAAGAAGACATGAATCTCTCCGACTTAATATATGCGTATTTGATTACCCGGAAAGATTTTTTCACCATGACGTTACCTAAATCGCAGAAAAAATGTTAATCTTTATAATCTATTCGGTGAAAGTTGATGGATTTTTACACATCTGACCGTTGGAAAGGTTTGCGCCAAAAATAGACAAAAATGGCTTGTTTACACCAATTCGTCCTAACAGATATTTATCTTGTATTTATTTAAAAAGATTAAACTTTTTTGTTCAATTTAATCTAATTATCGAGATTCAATAATTACTATCAACAAGAAGCAATTGAAACGATATTCTTGATTGAATTCTGATCATCAGCGTGATCGGTTTTCTTTTATTTTTGGAACTTCGACCACTTGAACGATTACAGTTGTTGTTGCTTCTTGATTGTTCGGATCAATTAGAGCTTCGAGATGAGTTAACAATCAGCTATTGCAATTTGTTGGACGACTTTTGTATTGATTGTTGGTCGATTTGTTTACCTGATTGTGGACTAAGTTTGATGAGGTAAAAGATGATTTCGCCCAAGGCAAGAGTTAGAAATGAAAACATTAACACTTTCGGTCCGTCACAATTATTGGCGATCAAGTAGATTAGGTGATAAACGTTGAAAAGAGCGACAATTAGTGAAAATATGGTCACGTAGTGTTTAGGCCAATGGAACCGACGGAAATCAGGTCCTGGTGAGGTGAGTGAATAGTAGCCCGATCTCAATGTGATCTTCATCGCGTCGGTATAAGGATAAAGATAAACCATATCTTTGTAGTAGCGATTCATGCAATGGTAAATGATTAAGATGTAGAATCCATTGTAGAGGAATTGGCGATCGGCGATTGGCCTGATTTACCTCGAAGAACCATGATAACGGGTGTGGTCAATTCTAAAATTCTCATGCAGAAAAGGGCATAAGCGATTCGTAGCATAACATCATCACGAAAATCGTCCGATGGTTTTGCCGTACAAGCCCAAGAATCACGGCCTAAACTAATTCCATATCCAATGACCAGAATACCACAGCCATAAGCACCAAAGTGAAGGCCATTTATCACAATTAGAAGAGGTCGCAGGTCAAATGGTTTACGAGTTGACATCCATTTGGGTCCAAGGAACATAACAAAAGTCAATTGAATGACCAAAATGAACGGTAATCCCCAACTACTATTGACCAGGAAAAAGTCTTGAGCTCTGGTCACTTTGAGATCGCCCCAGAACAATTTCTCATAAAATTGATAGTAATAATTGACTAGAGACATTGTTGATTAACTAATTATGGATTCACTAAATTAACAATCGATTAAGTCAAATTTACTCAATGGTCACTTGTGTAAGTTTGTCCAATGAACAACAATTCAACAATCATAAAACAGTCAAGTATCAAAGTGATTAACACTAATTTAAATGTGATGATCCCAATTGTCAGTCGAGTTAATCAATTAACAACAATAATCAGTTGATTACAATCAAGACTGGAAAGTGAAAAGTTTTCCTTTCACCTTCTTTGATTATCGTCATCATCAAGACGGGAGTTTATTGTTAATTATGATGATGATTATGAGTTATTGAATTACTGATTACAGGAAAATGTTAATTCAATTGTTTATCGTTGATTAACTGAATTGTAAAAATCACAGTTACTTAATAATATCATTAGATTATCTTTTGACGTGTTGACTCAGTTCATTGGTCAAGTTTGGTTGGTAAAAGTTAATAACTCTAATTGTTGGTTGTTAGTCTCACGTGGCAATTATTTATAAATTATATTATAAACAATTGGAAAGTAAAAGGATTTTAATTAACAATTAATTTGGAATTGGGAAATTATTTCAATGATATAAAGATTGAGATGAACAACTAGTGACGAGACATAATTGAAAACGCGAAATTAAGCTAATTGTCTAAACGAATGACAATTATATTCTCATGTAACTTTTTAGAAATTAGTAAATTGTCTTACATGTCGTTATGATCTTGAATTGGATTGTTATTGACGAGGGAATATAAACGAAGTTGATTTGTTATAGATGTTTGAATTTCTATCAACAATAGTTGATTTAACGATCATTTTTATAAATGCTCAA